GAAAGAAAGAAAGAAAGAAAGAAAGAAAGAAAGAAAGAAAGAAAGAACGAACCTTTAAGACACAAAAAAATAGCTCGGGTCAGGATCCCCACTGCACCCAAGGCCTCACCTGATAACCAGAACCCAGTGACATCACTCACTCAAGGTGACCAGACACAGTCCTAGAACCAAGAACAATGCTCTGCTCTGCACATCTGGAGAGACACCACCTTGATCTAGCCTGTGGCTGGAGAGTCTTTCTCAGGATCCTGACCCTCAAATCAGAGACTTCTGTTAGGGATTGGACCTGACCTTCAGGTAAGATCAGGTCAGGTGAGCAGCCTTGGAGAGATAGGCTTAGGACGAAGTTGGGAATTTAGGGTGTGAGCTTGTATGATGACCCTCAGCATAATAAAACATGACTTTTGCTACACTAACTACGCCTATCTGCCCGCTTGCTTGCTCTGACACAGTGGTACCAGAGCTTGCTAAGTATGAGAACCTGAGTTCAAATCCTCAGCTCCCACGTAAAAGCCATTAGGTAGTGTGTGCGGTACAGAGGCAGGGGGAACACTGGGCTTGCGGGCTACCAGCTCCAGGTTGGATGAGAGACTCATATCAGGAGAATAGGGAAGTGATAAAGCAGGACAATTGGTGTCCTCTGGCCTCTAGTCATGCAGACACAGACAAACACATGTGCACACACTACAGACATAACATTACACACACACACACACACACACACACACACACACACACACACACACCAGCAGCCAGATAGAACAAGTCCTCAGTTAAAGGCCAGGGCTGTGGCTCCACATCAGACCACTTGCCCAGTGTTTCTGAGGCTCTGGAACACCCCCAATGCCAGAAAAATAACACTAAATCAAAACCTCAGCTGTGAGGTTGCGGTCTGTAGGCTCTCCTGTGTCCCAGACCATAAACCAGATCCAGCCACGGTGGCCTCTAGTGTGCAGCCGTGCAAAGGCTGGAGGTTGCCGGGGGACAGCTGCACCTTGCTCGGCCCTCTCTGAAACAAGCACCAAAGTGCACAATCCAAGCTGTGAACAGAAACTCCTAAGAAGCTGCCTCTGACTGGGTGGAGCCTGTGTCCTAGGAGCCTGATGGCCGTGAGGATTTCAGGGCTGTGCAGAGGTTGGAATGTTACAGGTCCTGAGGCTGATTCCCTTATCTCCATATCAGAACTGACATGTTCAGACGAGAGATAAAACCCTCCTAGAAGCTGGCCATGGTGGTGCAGTGCTCCCACTCAGGGAGGCAGAGGCAGGCAGATTGCTGGGAGTTCAAGGCCAGCCTGGTCTACAAAGCCAGTCCAGGAGAGCCACAGCTACACAGAGAAGCCCTGTCTCAAAAAAACAAAAACAAAAACAAAAACAACCCCCAACCAACTAACAAACAAAACAACAACAACAAAAAGCCTTCTAGGATGTGCTGAGTTAGCAGGCAACTAGCTTCTGCCAATCCAACAGCCACGGTGCCATCGGATAGCATCTTAGGCCTCTGGAAGAGCTCCCGCCCACCATCTCGCTATACCCACCTTCCTGATGTACCCACTGATGAATTTAAAACTTGCCTGAATGCATGACTGTCTCTCCTCTGTAAAACCATGCAAACAGGGGAGACTGCTTCCACTTTGGACCATGGTAACCTAGGTCTGTGCTCCCAGGTCATAGCTCCAGAACTTATTCTTAGCTGGATAAGACAGGCCCCACTTTGATTATTACCTTTTTGGTCTGCTTTCAAGAAATTTGGTGTAGATATGTAGTTTGTTTGGTTGCTTTTTGGTCTGGGCTGTTGGGCCTGCTTGCTTTCTGGTGGAGCTCTAAAGGCATTTAGATCTAAAGATTCTGGCTGGTTAGCTGGTCTGGCTTATCTTCACACACACCCCTTTCAGAATCTGAAAGGCATTTTGTTTTTTTTTTGTTGTTGTTGTTGTTTTGTTTTATCTGTCTTTGAAATAGTTTCATTATCATTCCATTCGACCCTTGTCTCCTGTTGTCCCTCCTCAGATGCATAATTCTGCCTTTTCTGCCATTTCCTCAGTGACCTTGCCAAGCCTTGAGCCCTGGAAGACTCTGAGGTCTGCTCACCCAGTGCCTGAGCTGTGCAAGACACCTTGGGACTGAGGGAGGAAAGA